GTTACCCAGGCTGGAGTGCAATGGCGCGATCTCGGCTCACCGCAACCTCCGCCTCCTGGGTTCAGGCAATTCTCCTGCCTCAGCCTCCCGAGTAGCCAGGACTACAGGCACGTGCCACCATGCCCAGCTAATTTTTTTTTTTGTATTTTTAGTAGAGACGGGGTTTCACCATGTTGACCAGGATGGTCTCGATCTCTTGACCTCGTGATCCACCCGCCTCGGCCTCCCAAAGTGCTGGGATTACAGGCGTGAGCCACCGCCTCCGGCCTTGTATTACTTTCTTAATTTTAATTTCTGATTGTTCATTGCTAGTATATAGAACTATAATAGCATTTTGTATATTTATACTGTGTCCCGCAAACATACTAAACTTCCTGTTAATAGCTTTTTTTGTATATCCATCAGATTTTCCCCATGGACAGTCATATTACCTGTGAATAATGATAGTTTTATTTTTCCTTTCCATCACCCTGGGTGCCTTTTATTTCTTTTCCTCCCCTCCCCCCCCCCACTTTTTTTGTGTTTATTACACTGGCTGGAACTTCTAGTACAAAGTCAAATAGAAATGGTGAGAGTGGGCATCTTATTCCTGACTTTAGGGAGAAAGCACTTTTACCATAAGAATGATGTTATCTTTAAGTTTTTCATAGATAACTATTGTCAGTTAAGGATGTCACTAGTTTGTTGAGAGTTTTTATCTGAGGCAGATGTTGAATTTTGTCAAATGCTTTCTCTGTATCCATTGAGATAATTATGTGGTTTTTAGCTTTAGTTTGTTAGTATGGTGAATTGTATTGATATTTTCTTTTTCTTTTTTTTTTTAAATGGTGATGGGGTCTCGCTCTCTTGCTCAGGCTAGAGTGCAGTGGTGTGGCTATGGTTTTCTGTAACTTTGAACTAGTGGGCTGAAGGGATCCTCTCGCGTTAGCTTCCTGAGTACCTGGGACTGTGGATGTGTGCTACCATGCCTGGCTAATTTTTAATTTTTTTTTTTTTTTTTTGAGACGGAGTTTCGCTCTTGTTACCCAGGCTGGAGTGCAATGGCGCGATCTCGGCTCACCACAACCTCCGTCTCCTGGGTTCAAGCAGTTCTCCTGCCTCAGCCTCCTGAGTAGCTGGGATTACAGGCACGTGCCACCATGCCCAGCTAATTTTTTGTAGTTTTAGTAGAGACGGGGTTTCACCATGTTGACCAGGATGGTCTCGATCTCTTGACCTCGTGATCCACCCGCCTCGGCCTCCCAAAGTGCTGGAATTACAGGCTTGAGCCACCGCGCCCGGCTGTTTCAGGTTTTTAACTGAGGTCTTTAGACCGTGTACATTTACTGTGATTATTGGTATTGTGGGGTTTAAGCCTGTCATTTTTCTGTTTATTTTCTATTTGTCCATCTGTTCTTTGTTCCCTTTTCCTCTTTTTCTGCACTCTTGTGTATTAATTGAATATTTTCAATTTTTTAATGATTTCATTTTATCTACTTTGTTGGCTTACTAGCTATAACTTGTGTTATTTTAGTAGTTGCTTTAGGATTTATAGTACACATTTAACATATCACAGTCTACTTTTAAGTGATATAATATCACTTTCCACATAGTATAAGAGCTGTAGAGAACTGCCAGGCACAATCATGTGCACCCGTAGTCCCAGCTGTTTGAGAGACTGAAGGGGGAGGATTGTCTGAGCCCAGGAGTTTGAGTTCAACTTGGATTACATAGTGAGACGCCATCTCTAAACAACAACAAAAAAGAACCTCACAAAACTCTATTTCCATTTCTCTCTTCCTAGCCTACATGCTATTGTCATTTATTTTATTGTCATTTATTTTACTTTTACATATGTCACAAGCCTCACACTACATGGTCATTTTTGTTTAAACAGTCAATTGCCTTTTAAAGAGATTTAAATAAAAAGTACAAAATATAATACATTTACCATGTAGTTAGCATTTCTGGTGCTCTTCTTTCTATTCTGTAGATCCATACTTCTATCTGGTATTATTTTCCTTCTACCTGAAGGACTTCCTTTAACATTTCTTGTAGTGGAGATCTGCTGGTGATACATTCTTTCAGCTTTTGTAATCCTTTTATCTTTGAAAGGTATTTTCCTTGAGTATAGGTTAATAGTTTTTTTCTTTCACTACTCTAAAGATGTTGCTCCAGGCCAGGAGTGGTGGCTCAGGCCTGTAATCCCAACATTTTGGGAGGTCCAGGTGGGTAGATCACTTGAGGTCAGGAGTTTGAGACCAGCCTGGCCAACATGGTGAAACCCCATTTCTACTAAAAATACAAAAAAAAAAAAAAAAAAAATTAGCCAGGCATGATAGCACGTGCTTGCAGTCCAAGCTACTCAGAGGCAGAGGCACAAGAATCCCAGAAGGTGAAGGTTGTAGTAAGCCAAGATTGCACCACTGCACTCTAGCCTGGGCGACAGAATGAGACCCTGTCTCAAAAAAAAAAAAGATGTCACTCCTTTGTCTTCTCACTTTGTAATTAGTTCATTTTCATGCTGCTATGAAGAAATACCCAAGACTAGGTAATTTATTAAGGACAGAGGTTTAATTGGCACAGTTCCGCATGGCTGTGGAGGCCTCAGGAAACTTACAAGTATGGTGGAAGGCACCTCTTCACAGCATAGCAGGAGAGAGAATGAGTGCCAGGAGGGCAAATGCCAGATGCTGATAAAACCATCAGATCTCGTGAGAACTCACTCACTATCAGGGGAATGGCAGGAGGGAAACCACTCCTATGATTTGGTTACCTCCCACTAGGTCCCTCCCACTGCATGTGGGGATTATTACAATTTGAGATGAGATTTGGGTGCAGACACAGAGCCAAACCATATCACACTTCCATTGTTTTCTGATAAGAAATCTGTCATCCTTAATTTTGATCTTCTCTATACAAAATGTCTACTTTCTCTAACCGATTTTAAGATTTTCTTTTATCACTGATTTTGAGCAATTTGATTATGATGTGGCTTGGTGTGTTCCTTCATGGTTCTTGTGCTTGCAGTTCATTGAGCTTCTTAGATCTGTGGATTTTTTGTTTACATCAAATTTGCAAAAATTCTGGCCAGTATTTTCTTCTAGTAAATTTTCTATTCTCCCCATCCCTACCTTAGCGACTGCAGTTACCAGTTACACATATGTGTAATATCTGGGATTGCTTAACGTTATCCCAGCACCTGTTGATACTCTTTTAATGGCAACAATTTTTTTTCTCTCTCTGTGATTTCTTTGCTATCATTTCTGTTGCTGTGGCTTTAAGCTCACTTATTTTTTTCTACTGCATTTTTGAGTCTGTTTTTAACCCAGCCCATGTATTTTTCATCTCAGATATTATAGCTTTCATCTCTAGAAGTTTGTGTTCCATGTTTTTTTTTTGTTTGTTTTTTTTTTAAAGAGACCAGGTTTTGCTCTGTTGCCCAGGCTGGAGTGCAGTGGTGCAATTATAGCTCACCATAACCTTAAACTCCTGGGCTCAAGTGATCCTCTGGCCTTGATCTCCTGAGTAGCTGGGAATACAGGTGTGTGCCACCATGTCTGGCTCATATTTTTTGATTTTTTGGAGATGGGGTCTCATTATGTTGCCCAGGCTGGTCTTGAAGTCCTGGCCTTAAATAATCCCCTCACCTTGGCCTCCCAAAGCACTGGGATTACAGGCATGAGCTACCAGGCCCAGCCTTTCTAGTTAATTTTTAAACAAATATTATAGTATGGCTATAATAACTGTTAATATCCTTGCCTGCTAACTCTAACATTTGCGTTAGGTTTTTTTTTTTTTTTTTTCATTCTATGTTGTATTGTCTGGCTTCTTTGCATGCCTAGTAATCTCTGATTAGATGCCAGGCACTATGAATTTTACTATTTGAGTTCTCGGCACTTCTGTATTCCGATAAATATTTTCAATCTCTGTTCTGGGTTGTAGTTAAGATACATAGAAATAATTTGATTTCTTTTTGTTTTCGTTTTAAGATTTTTTTGGCAGAACCAGAGAATCCTTTAGGCTGCGATTAATTCTCCACTACTGAGGCAAGGCCCTCTGAGTATTTTGCTCTGGGCCCCATGGGTGATTAGGTTTTCCAGTCTGGCAGGTGGAGACGGGCATTATTCCAAGCCGTATATGAGCATTTTGTATTGTTTCTTCTAATTCTTTCCAATGATTCTTTGTCTAGCCTTGAGTAGTTTCTTTACTTGCGTGAACTGATCCGTTACCCTGCTGAATACCATACAGATCCCCTGGATTCTCTCTCTTCTCTGGTACCATTCATAGGAACTCTAGCCACCTTGATCTCCCTTAACTCAGGGAGTCCACGAGTCCACCTCGGCCTCCCTTCCCTGAGCTGCAGCCTGGAAACTTTTTCTAGGCGGTTAGCTGGGGTAGTTGTAGGTGCTACTTCATTTGTTACCTGTTTCTCAGGGATTCCTGTCCTTCACTGCCTGGTGTCCAGTGTTTTGAAATTTATCGTTTTATATATTTTGCATGGGTTTTTTCCTGTTAGGCAGGAGAGTAAAAAATTAGTCCCTTTTACTCCATCTTGGCTGGAAAGGGAAGAGTAGCAGATTAAAAAAAAAATGTTTGACTTAATTTGTGTGTGTGTTTATGTGTATGTGTGTATTCTCATCCAGAGAAAGCAATTGAGCTGCGTCTGGCAAAAATTGATCATACTGCAATTCATCCACATTTACTTGACATGAAGATTGGACAAGGGAAATATGAGCCAGGCTTCTTCCCTAAGCTGCAGTCTGATGTACTTTCCACTGGGCCAGCCAGCAACAAGTGAGTCAACCCCAGGGATTCACTGATCCAACTCCCTAGGGTCATCTGGTTTCTGGGCCAGGGCTATTATCCCCAGAAGACTTTGTAATTTTGTAAAGCAAGTATGGAGAAGACCCAAACTATCTAGGTTGTTCACTTGTTTGAACAAGAAAATACGTGGCAGAATATCTTTCAGTTGCTGCCTCCACTATGCAGATTGGGATAGCTTTATATGTCCAGGACCTGCAAAAAGCTGCAGACGGGTTAAAATCACCTCATGCCTGGATCGAATTCAGTAGCAAGCTAGCATTGTCTTTAATAAATGGCAGTTGAAATTATCAGAACCTGAACTGAAAAGTAGATAAGCAGAATTACTCATTAGTTACTTTTGGAGATGATTGCATCAATGCCTATATAGAGTTAAATGAGTATAGTTTTAGATCTATATGTGAAGTGTTTGTAGATGTTTCAAGAGAGACACGTTCCCTGAGGGGTTATCTCTCTCATGTCCAGTCACTTATCTTTAATCTGCACTTCCTCAAGGTCTCTGAGCTGTCTCTGGTGACTTCTTTGTCATTTCATATGTCCAGCATTGGCCCTTAGTCATTCATGTTTTCTCCTGTTAGTTGACCTTGCTTTTTAAGTGAGAGATTCTTAATTGCCTGCTTTGATTCTGATTGTGTAAGGTGGACAAAAAGGAATGCCCCTGCCCAGTGGAGGCGGAAAGATCGGCAGAAGCAGCACACAGAACACCTGCGTCTAGATAATGACCAGAGAGAGGTAAGATACCTTAAGAATGACAAAGATGACTTTGCTATCATGCTATGTACTCCTTCTCTTTCTCATTTCCTGTTCTCTGGTCTGATTCAAATATCCCAGCAATGACCTCACCCCATAAAGAAAGGTTAATAATAGTTCTAGTTCCTGATATCTGATACTGGGCCTGGGTTATCACAAATGAGAATGTAGGATGTTTTGCAAATTACAGCTACCTACTAAACATGTTGTAATTACTCATGCATGATACTCCCTGGGGAGTTCAATAGGAACCTCAGAAGTTAAGACTCTGAAACTTGGGAGAAATCCTTTAAAAATTGATGTGTGTGTGTGTAGGAAAGAAGTTTTTTAAAATTCTTTTTTTTTTTTTTGAGATGGAGCCTTGCTCGTGTTGCCCAGGCTAGAGAGTGCAGTGGAGTGATCTCAGTTCACTGCAACCTCCACCTCTTGGGCTCAAGCAATTCTTCTGCCTTAGCCTCTGTAGTAGCTGCCTCAGCCTCCCTAGTACCTGCAATTGCAGGTGCCACCACCACACCTGGCTAATTTTTTTTTTTTTTTTTTTTTGAGACGGAGTTTCGCTCTTGACCCAGGCTGGAGTGCAATGGTGCAATCTCGGCTCACCGCAGCCTCCGCCTCCCGGGTTCAGGCAATTCTCCTGCCCCAGCCTCCTGAGTCGCTGGGATTACAGGCACGCGCCACCATGCCCAGCTAATTTTTTGTATTTTTAGTAGAGACGGGGTTTCACCATGTTGGCCAGGCTCGTCTCAAACTCCTGTTCTCAGGTGATCCGCCTGCCTCAGCCTCCCAAAGTGTTGGGATTACAGGTGTGAGCTACCGCACCTGGACCAGAAAGAAGTTAGTTTTGTTAGCGTGTTTTCCCCCTACTGTTTCTTACTTTAAATAAAAATAGATAATCTTGACTTTTTTTCTTCAAAAGAGTAAAGGAGAGGAACATTATTATCAGGTACTTGGAAACCCAAGATTCTTGAATTTACCTCCTGAATCTTCATTGCTTATAAGCTGAGTTTCTCAGCTCTACTGTAACTTGCTTCTTAAGTTTCTACTTATAAACCTCAAATTGTAGACCCTGCCTTACTTAGTTGCAAAGAAGTTGTGAAAATGAGTGTTAACTTCAGAAACCTATTTCAGTAACTTCGCTTTGAGAAAAGACCCTGTAATTTTTGTCTTGCACAGATAGAACCCAAGAAGGCATACTGTTTTCACATGTCTGGCACCTCAGTGAATTGGAAAATAAGTAACATATTTCCCTTTGCTTTTTTTTTTAATGAATAGATTAAAATTTTAAGAATTTTCAACTGCTGATTTACAGGATACAGTTGCACTTAGATTTTTTTTGTGTGAGAGTAGCATAAGATATTTTGGTTATTTGTGCCATTTTAAGAGTCTGAGTCGTCCACCTAATTTCCTCATTACTATTTTCAGCAGTATTTATTGACCTTTTTCTTGGTCAGAATCACTGAGTGTATTAGTCCATTTTCATGCTGCTGATAAAGACGTGCCCAAGACTGGGCAATTTACAAAAGAAAGATTTAATGGACTTACAGTTCCACATGGCTGGGGAGGCTTCACAATCATGGCAGAAGGCAAGGAGGAGCAAGTCACGTCTTACATGGATGGCAGCAGGCAAAGAGAGGGCTTGTACAGTGAAACTCCCCCTTATAAAACCATCAGAACTCGTGAGACTTATTCACTATCATGAGAACAGCACAGGAAAGACCCACACCCATGACACAATTACTTCCCCCTGGGTCCCTCCCACAACATATGGGAATTTCGGGAACTACAATTCAAGATGAGATTTGGATGGGGACACACCCAAATCATATCACTGAGATATCAAGGAATTCTTTGCTAAAGCAAAAAAACTGAGATAAGCACTTTGAAATACAAAGGTGACAAAAGAGGTCAGTCTTGTCCTCAGGGAATACCAGTTGATTAAGGGAGCAAAGTCAGGTGTAAAGATAACTTCAGGAGAATAATCTTTTGAAATGACCATATGAAGGACAAACCAATGTTTGATTACTGATTAGCGAAAGCAGAGGTTACTTCTACTTAGAGTCATCATCAACTAAGATGATTTGGAAGAGGAGCAAGCATCTCTTTCAACTTTGGAGAATGATGGGATTGTTAGAGAAGCTTTTATGTTATTTTGAGATGGGGTCTTACTCTGGCACCCAGGTTGGAGTACAATGGTGTAATCTGGGCTCACTGCAATCTCCACCTCCCAGGCTCAGGTGATCCTCCTACCTCAGCCTCCTGAGTAGCTGGGACCACAGGTGCACACCATCATGCCTGGCTAATTTATTTTTTGTATTTTTTGTAGAGACAGGGTTTTGTCATGTTGCCTGGGATGGTTTGAACTCCTAAGCTCAAGTAATCCACCTGCCTCAGCCCCCTAGAATGCTGGGATTACAGGCAAGAGCCACTGCTCCTGGCTCTTTTTCTTTTTCTTTTTTTTGAGACAGAGTCTCACTGTATCACCAGGCTAGAGTGCAGTGGTGCGATCTTGGCTCACTGCAATCTCTGCCTCCTGGGTTCAAGTGATTCTCCTTCCTCAGACTCCTGAGCAGCTGGGACTACAGGTGTGTACCACCACACCTGGCTAGTTTTTTGTATTTTAGTAGAGATGGGATTTCGCCATGTTGGCTAGAATGGTCTCGGTCTGCTGACCTCGTGATCCACCTGCCTCAGCCTCCCAAAGTGCCGGTATTACAGGTGTGAGCCACTGCACCCTGCCTTTTTCTTTTTCATCTCCCTGGAGCTGCAAGAAGAACATTTCTAGTAGAGGTCATGGTAGGATCTAAAATTTGGAGTGTGATGTGTAAAGGAGGCTGTGGGCAGAATATTTTGTAGGAGGACGGTATGGAGATAGCCAGCAAGTTAGGAGACAGGTAACAGCAGTCCAAGTAATAGTATTTGGACCCTAACCTTGGGGGCTGGTAGTAGAGAGAGATTAAGGGGCCATAAGATAAAATGGACAGAATTATGCCACTGGAATAAGTATAGGGAAAGGGAGAAGTTTAGGGTAAATATGTTGGTCATGAACCTACTAAGAGGATATCAGAGTGCATTTTACTTCATTGATGTGGGTTCTGTGTTAAAACAGACATAGGCAGAATCACCAGCACATTATACAAAATAATTGCAATTGTTGAGTGTGCAATCTTATTTTCCAGGCCTTAATTTTATATTTATGATAGAAAGGGCAGATATCTTTGATATGGGCAGAGGAGTTAAATTCCTCTCAGCTTGGTGGGGAAAATTATTTTCTCAGCGTTATTCCGAGATTTGAGATTTGCTGTAGCCATGTGTTTTTTGACTCTTGTCTTTTTTTTTTTTTTTTTTGACACAGAGTCTTGCTCTGCTGCCCTGGCTGGAATGCAGTGGCGCTATCTCAGCTTACCACAGCCTCCGCCTCCCAGGCTCAAGTGATTCTCCTGTCTCAGCTTCCTGAGTAGCTGGGATTACAGGTGCATGCTACCATGCCTGGCTAATTTTTGTATTTTTAGTAGCGATGGGGCTTACCATGTTGGCCAGGCTGGTCTCGAACTCCTGACTTTGTGACCTGCCTGCCTCGGCCTCCCAAAGTGCTGAGATTACAGGTGTAAGCCACTGCACCCCGCCTGACTCTTGTATCTTTTCATATATATATGTATATATTTTAAGAGACGGGGTTTCACCATATTGGCCAGGCTGGTCTTGAACTCCTGACCTCAGGTGATCCCCCCACCTCAGCCTCCCAAAGTGCTGGGATTACAGGCTTGAGCCACTGTGCCTGGCAACTCTTGTTCTTTAAATCAAAGGTAATTATACTATTCAGGGAGTGCTTTACATCAGCTAAGACAGAAATCATTATATTATCTCAGTTTTTCCCTTTAATACAAGAATTAAATTAAAAATTTTTATTCCTATCTGAGCCTAGAAAGAGGCAGCTAAGAAAGTGTGAAAAAATAGTGCCCTCTTTAGTCACCCATCAGTACTGGTGACTTTTGGTTTATGTGCATGGACACAAAGGGTCTGTATTTTTCTGTTTGATATAGAAGTACATCCAGGAAGCCAGGACTATGGGCAGCACCATCCGGCAGCCCAAACTGTCCAACCTTTCTCCATCAGTGATTGCGCAGACCAACTGGAAGTTTGTAGAGGGCTTGCTGAAGGAATGTCGCAATAAGGTAAGCTGTGGACACCTCTGTGTTTGTGTTTTTTCTGTTAGCAGCCAAGGTAAGACCAAGGATTGGCTTCAGCCACTCCCTCTGTATTTTAAAAATACTGTTGGCTGGGTGTGGTGGCTCATGCCTCCCAACACTTTGGGAGGCCATGTCAGGAGAATTGCTTGAGCCCAGGCGTTCAAGACCAACTTGAACAACGTAGTGAGACCCTGTCTTTAGAAAAGTATTAAGATGGGGATGGTAGCACACGCCTATAGTCCCAGATACTTGGAAGGTTGAGGTGGGAGGATGGCTTGAGCCTGGGAAGTCAAGGCTACAGTGAGCTGTGATTGGCACCACTGCATTCCTGCCTAGGCAACAGAGTGAGACCCTGTCTTAAGAAAAAAAAAAAACAAAAACATCAATGCAATGAGATAGTACTAATTTTAAGAACCTGTTAATTTGAAGTTAGGTATATTTGTTTTAAATAAAACATACCATTAATTGAGAGCATGCATGCTTTGCTTGATATAAACGTAATGTATATTCTATAAAAAAAAAAAACGAAAGAGATGTAGTTTTTAATTTAATAAAAAACATTTTTTTTAGACAGGATCTCATTACATTGCCCAGGCTTGAACTCCTGGGCTCAAGTGATCCTCCTACCTCAGCTTCTCGAGTAGCTGGAGTTACAAGCATAGTTTTAAATTTTCGTCATTTTACGATACTTTAAAATCAGACTAGTTTTCACTCTTACTTCAACATATTAGTCCTACATATATGCAAGTGTTTTTGCCTCTTTATTTTAATTTCATAACAGTAATATCTTATATCTAGAAACAGAAATTTATTGGGTACCTACCATGTGCCAGGCTAAAATGTGTCATTCAGTTTAAGGTTAGATTTTTTGGATGTTTTTCTCTGTTCTACAAAGACATTCATTCTTAATTTTTAATGTTTTAGTTATGAATTTAAATGTCTTTTCTAATAAAAAGAATCTTTCAACCAAGTCAGCATACCATAATTTTAGGGCAGTTCAACTCACTGTCTCTACTACATCCTATATATTTATCAATGGAATAAAAATATTTTCCTGCGCTTTCAGTTTCCAAGCAGTGCCCATTTATGGGATAAAGTGGTGCTCGTTTATAGGAGGAAATAAAATATGCTGTCTCTTGTAAAAGAAATTACTACTGTTTAAAGCCAGATTGGCAGGGCACAGTGCCTCATGCGTGTAATCCTGGCCCTTTGGGAGGTGAAGGTGGGCGAATCACTTGAGCCCAGAAGTTTGAGACCAGCCTAAGCAACATGATGAAACCCTATTTCTACCCAAAAAAAAAATATTTGGGCACCTTTAGTCCCAGCTACTTGTGTGGCTGAGGTGGGAGGATCATTTGAGCCCTGGAGGTCAAGTTGGCAGAAGAAGACCCTCTCTCTAGAGAAAAAGCTAGATTAATATATCAGTACTGATAATTTAAATTCAGTGTTTAAAAAAAACTCTGGCCAGGCATTGTGGCCAGAGTCTGTGTGCTTGTGCGTGTGTGTGTGTGTGTGTGTGTGTATAAAACTTCCGTCAGTTCACTCTGAGTAATTAATATCTATAATTTTTTTCCCCATACAATTTTGTCTCTTCTGCCTTTGTACTATGAAGAACATTGGTGATGCTGCATTTATGCATTTTCTTTTTCTAAGTGGTTGGACTGTCATTCTTTTTTTTTTTTTTTTTTTTTTTTTTGAAATGGAGTCTCACTGTGTCACCTAGGCTGGAGTGCAGTGACACAATCTCAGTTCACTGCAACCTCCGCCTCCCAGGTTCAAGCAATTCTCCTTCCTCAGCCTCCAGAGTGGCTGGTATTACAGGGGTGTGCCACCACTCTTGGCTAATTTTTGTATTTTTAGTAGGACAGGGTTTCATCATGTTGATCAGGCTGGCATTGAACTCCTGACCTTAAGTGATCTGCCCACCTTGGCGTCCCAAAGTTCTGGGATTATAGGCATGAGCCACTGCGCCTGGCCAGGACTGTCAAAATTCTTAAGTCATGAGATGCATGACCTGGCTGTGACAACTTCCTATTCCTAGCCAGTGATGATTGTGAAATATATATCAAGTATATACATGTTAAATATGTGAGAAAATATGCATCTAGAATTGAAGAAATATAATAATCAGTATAACATCACAAAGTATTGGCTAGCACATAGGGCAACAGGCTGTTGGAAGTATAAATTGGTATGATAATTTTGGAAAACAGTATAGTATTGTTTAGTAATTCTTCTCCTAGGTATATTCCCTAGAGAAACTTTTGGAGCATGTCCCAAGAGGTATGTACAAGAATTTTACAGCAGCATTCTTTTATAGCCCCAAACTGGAAACAACCCAAAGCCAATTAGTAAGAGAATTAATAAACATATTGTGGCATATTCATATGGTGGAATGCTATACAATGATGGAAGTGGATAACAGTTATACACATCAGTGTGGATGAATTTCACAAATATAAACTTGAGTGAAAAAGCAAATTGTAAGCCAGGAGTATTGGCACACAGCTGTAATCCCAGCTGCTTGGGAGGCTGAGGTAAGCAGATTACTTGATCCTGGGAGTTCAGGCCCAGCCAGGGCAACATAGTAAAACCCAGTTTTGTAAAGGAAAAGATAAACAAATCACAAAAGAAACATGTGTGCCTATAGTCCCAGCTACTGGGGAGGCTGAGGTGGGAGGGTCAGTTGAGTCTGGGAGGTTGCGGCTATGTGAACCATTATTGAGCCACTGCACTCCAGCCTAGGCAACAGAGAGAGATCCTGTCATAAAAAAAAAAAAAAAAAGGATATATACAGACAAACCAAACCATGTATTTTAGGGTTAAAAATATAGGTAATAATAATTTTCTTGTTTTTCTGTAGTTTCATTGTGTAAGTAAGTGGTTGCTTCTAGAGTGGGAAGGTGAATGGAAGAGGGCATGTGGGGTGCTTCAAAGGCATAAACAGACTGGGTGCCATGGCTTATTCCTGTAATCCCAGTACTTTGGGAGGCTGAGGCAGGCAGATTACCTGAGGTTGGGAGTTCAAGACCAGCCTGACCAACATGGAGAAACCCTGTCTCTACTAAAAATACAAAATTAGCCAGGCATGGTGGCGCATGCCTGTAATCCCAGCTACTTGGGAGGCTGAGGCAGGAGACTCGCTTGAACCCAGGAGGTGGAGGTTGCGATGGGCTATGATTACCCCATTGCACTCCAGCCTGGGCAACAAGAGTGAAACTTCATCTCAAAAAAAAAAAAAAAAAAAAATTGCTGGCACTGGTTATAATGATGTAATAGCATAAATATATATTTAACGGTAAAAAAGTTAAAAACCATAACAGTGGAAAGAAATATGCCAAAGTATTAAAAGTTGTTGCTTCTGAAAGATGGGATTGGGGTGATTTGTTTTTCTTTTCTTAGATTTTTATATGTCACAAATTTATAGCATAGTTAAATCTTTCTTTTGAACTTGGACTCAAAGTTCAGACAGATATAGGTTCAAAGGCCAGATCTATTGCTACTTTGCTTGTTCATTTGGGCAAGTTATATACATATATAACTTGAGTGAAAGAGCAAATCGTAACTTGAGTGAAAAAGCAAATCACAAGCCAGGAGTATCTGCACACATCTGTAATCCCAGCTACTGGGGAGGCTGAGATGGGAGTGTCAGTTGAGTCTAGGAGGTTGATATATATAGATAATATTTAATGTAGTAGTACTACATTTAAATATAGATTTTGGGCATGTTACTTAGAATTATACTATACTTAAATACAGTATAAATCAATATTGATTTATACTATATTTAAATTTAGTATATTGATTACTATATTTCTCAATTTCCTTATTGGTGAATTGGGAACGATAATAATAGTTACCTCATAGATTGTTAGGAGGCTTAAATGAGATAATGAAATGCTAAGTTCAATGCCTGACACAGTACTTAATAAAAACTATGATTATCATTATACAGTGTCTGTTTTCTTGGTTATGATTTTACAATAAGCAGTTGAAAATTTTTATGTAAATTACCTCCTCATTTTTTTTGTCTCCTTGACAGTTACTTCAGATATATTTCTAAGTTGTATGTATGCTTGGAGGTTTATTTAGTAGGGTTATTTAAGCAGTGGGAATCAGAGACTGTCAGAGGTGAGCATGACCGAAGGGTTTATTTAACTTTGTTTCTCTCATAAATGCAAAAACCAAATACAGAGTGATGAAATCACTGGCCAGGAGTCATACAGATTGCTGTGCTCTTATCCTTTTCTTTCCTTTTTTTTTTTTTTTTTGCAGAAAAAGCGATATATTAGAGAGAGAGAGAGAGAGAGAGAGAGGGTTCCCACGCTGTTGTAGGAGAGGCTTATCCTTTTCTTAACTAAAATTTTAAAGCGTGCACTCCCTTGTAACCTGACCTATATGGATATAAATATATTCTGCGTCCTTGAGGTATTTAACCTGTCCCTCCCAGCCCAACAGATGTGCTATGCAGGCTGTCGGAACCCTCTCAGATTGTATGTGATCCTGCTCACTGTGGTTATTTAATCCTGTTGACTGCTTCCTTGTAGACCAAGAGGATGCTGGTGGAAAAGATGGGCCGAGAAGCTGTGGAGCTAGGGCATGGGGAGGTGAACATCACAGGGGTGGAAGAGAACACCCTGATTGCCAGCCTTTGTGATCTCCTGGAAAGGATCTGGAGTCATGGACTACAAGTGAAACAGGTAATGGGTGTCTAGCCTCTCTCTGCTCAGCAAATTGTCTTCCTGTTTTCAGTTACTAACTTTCCCACACTCTTTTTGTCCAGCTGACTGGCTTTGAAGAGTGGTACACAGTACTCTGGAGTGAGATTTGAAATAATTAGACAAACAAATAAATGTGATCCAAACTATTTTCCTTAAAGATAAGCTTTATAAATCTTTGTGTTTGTCAAACTTTTTAAAAGAGGCATCTTTCTTCCTGGAGGTAGATCTAAAGGTCAACATGATAGGTCCTGTTTGGCAGCTGGCCCTCATCTGGAGATAGACCAGAAAGAGAAGTTGGAGCTCAGAAGTACCAATCATACACTAAAGATTCTTCAATAATAGTATATTCACAGTGGAAAAAAAGTCTGTCATTAACATTTCTTTTTTATGTAAGTGGTTTATCTAAACATTTGCAAGAAAAGGGCTCAGGAAGTTGAGTAAGTTTGATTTTTCCACTTAATACCCAGAGAATTTCCTTATTTCAGAATACTCTCTTTTCAATTGGTAGTCAAGATAGATACTTTTCATTTTTATGTATTTTTAAATTTGAAAATAACTTGAAATTTTTTGAAAAGTTTTATCATGGAAAAATTAGAAAATACATATTTGCTGTAGTATCCGTTAGCATTTCTTGAGGGCCTACAGTATGTCAGGTACTGTTGTAGGCACTAGAAATACTTCAGTGCCTACATCTCCGCCTTCCTGGAGTGTCCATTCTAATGGGTATAGAAACAATCTTCAACACCTGTTCTTCATAGCTTTCTTCTGTGTACATATCCCCATGCATTATAGCTTTATATTTAAAAACCCAGTGCAACCGCAATGAGATACATCCACAGAGTAGTTAACCAAAAAAAGACAGTGACAAGTGTTAAGCAAGGATGTGGAGAAATGAGAACTTTCATGGATTGCTATTAGGAATGTAAAATGGTGCAGCCACTTTGGAAAACAGTCTGGCAGTTCCTCAGAATGTTAAACAGTTCCTGTATGACCCAGCAAGCCTACTTCTAGATACATACTCAAGAGAAGTGAAAACATATGTCTACACAAAAACTTGTATACAAATGTTCATAGTAGGCCGGGTGTGGTGGCTCACGCCTGTAATCCCAGCACTTTGGGAGGCCAAGACAGGTGGATCACTTGAGGTCAAGAGTTTGAGACCAGCCTGATTAACATGGTGAAATCCCATCTCTACCAAAAATACAAAATTAGCCAGGCATAGTGGTGCATGCCTATAATCCCAGCTACTTGGGAGGCTGAGGCAGGAGAATCGCTTGAACCCAGGAGGCAGAGGTTGCAGCGAGCCAAGATTTCACCATTGTACTTCAGCTTAGGCAACAAGAGCAAAACTCCATCTCAAAAAAAAAAAAAAAATGTTCATAGCTGCATTAGTCATAATAGTGTAATCATATAAGGCTATTATGACCTAAATGTTCATCAGCTGATGAGTAGGTGACCTAAATTTGGTATAGCCATACATTGGAATATTATTGAGCAGTAAAGGGAATAAAGCACCTAGATTTGATACAACATGGATGAACTTTGAAAACCTAAGTGAAAGAAGCCAGACACAAAAGGCCACAGATAGTATGATCTAATTTATACAAAATGTCTAAAAGGCAAATCCATAGACAGAAAGTAGATTAATGGTTGCCAGAGGCTGGAGGGAGGGAGCAATGGGAAGTGACGACTAATGCATATGGAATGTCTTTTGAGGGTGATGAAGATGTTCTAGAATTAGATAGTGGTGATGGCTGCACAACTCTATAGGAAAAAAACCATTTTTTTTTGTTCAGAAAATTACATGCTTTAAAAGTGTGAATTTTATGCTAACATGAGTTATATCTCAGTAAAGTGTTTTATTAAAAAATCCAAATGAAATAATACTGTACATAATGTTTTGCAAGTTGCTTTGTTTTTTATCTGATGTCTTTTCTATGCTCTTAACTAATTTTTAGATGATAGTGTAGTAAGTGTTTAAGAGCTTGACTGTAAAACAGATCTGGATTTGAAGTATAATTTCCATTTAATAACTTTATGAAAATGAGCAAGTTACCTAGCCTCTCTAAGCCTGTTTCCTTATATGTATGATGGAATTTTATTTTATTTTATTTTATTGTATATTTAATTTAATTTAATTTAATTTTTGAGATAGAGTCTTGCTTTGTTGCCCAGGCTGGAGTGCACTAGCATCATTACAGCTCACTACAGCCTTGACCTCCTGGGTTCAAGTGATCCTCCCACCTCAGCTTAGAGACTGAGACTATAGGTGTGTTGCACCATGCCCAGCTAATTTTTTATTTTTTGTAGAGACAGGGTTTCCCTGTGTTGTCCCGGCTGGTCTTAAACTCCTGGCCTCAAATGATCTTCCTGCCTCAGCCCCCCAAACTGCTGGGATCACAGGCATAAGCCACTGTGCCCTGCCTGATGGAATTTTAAAAGTACCCACCTCCATTGGGTCCATGTGTGGATTTGATAATTAAGCTCAGAGCCTGGTTTCTGGCTATCTGAATGTTTGTGGTTATTGTAAAATCTGTTTTAATGACCACATCTCTTGTATAGATGTGCCATACTTTAATCAATCTCTTATTATTAGTCATTTAGGTTAATTCTGATTTTTCCATATTGTAAACAACACTGCATTTATAGAGTTTTTTAGATGTTAAAAATTGTGTATTCCATCCCTAAAATTTTGAGACTGTGGTGTAGTAGCAACACTATGAACTGTGAGTCAGAAAGGCTTGGGTTTGAATCCTGGCTCCACTAGATGACTTTAAGCAACTTGCACTTTCTGAGCCTTATTTTCCAAATCCATCAAAGGTAGATAGTTAATAAAAACCCGTTTTTCAGAATGTTAATTGTTCTGCCATAAAGACACATGCACATGTATGTGCATTGCAGCACTATTCACAATAGCAAAGTTATGATCAACCTAAATGCCCATCAACAGTAGACCAGATAAAGAAAAGGTGATACATATACACCATGCAACCCTACACAGCCACAAAAAAGAACTAGATCATATCATTTGCAGCAACATGGCTGGAGCTGGAGATCATAGTCATAAGTGAACTCATACAGGAACGGAAAACCAAAAACTGCATGTTCTCACTTATAAGTGGGAACTAAACATTGAGTACACATGGACACAAAGAAGGGAAACAATAGGTACCAAGGCCTACTTGAGGGTGGAGAGTGGGAGGTGGGAGAGGATGGGAAAACTACCTATTGGCTTATTACATGGATGACGAAGTAATCTGTACACCAGACCGCTATGACATGCAGTTTGCCTATATAACAAACTTGCCTGTGTGCCCCTGAACCTAAAGTAAAAATTAAAAGAATTAAATAAATACCTTTCAGCTGTGATAATTAGAGGCAGTGAAAGGAAATACCTGGTGTGTGATGAGTTTGCAACATATGACAGCCATTATTATGTTGGGTTCTATATGAAGGTTTTGTTTCTTTTTCTCTGTAATAAGTAAGTAGAATATATATAATCCTTTTATAATTTTCCTTAAAATTTAGCAAGCCTGGTACTATAGTTGAGATCTTTTAGCTTTGAGGTAAAACATGCTGAAAACATGTTTTACCTCATGTTTAAGTATTTTTTAATACTTTAAGTATTTACTACAAAAATTTCTAGGGAGTTAGTAAGGCTTCTTCTTGCATTTTGAAAAACAGTGCCATATCATTATATGTTCTAAATCTGTCTTCTAGGCTTTGCAGTGGTATTCTGCAGGAATTCTCATCGTAGGAGAAATTTATTATTTTGCAGGAGGTCTCACAGTAGGAAGAATTTCCCTCCCTCCCTTCCCCCTCCCTTCCCCTTCCCCCCTCCTTCCCCTTCACCTATCCTTCCTTCCCCCCTCCCTTCCCCCTCTCTTCCCCCCTCCCTTCCCCCTCCTTCCTTCCTTCCTTCCTTCCCTTCCCCTTCCCCCATCCCTCCTTCTCTCCCTCCTGTCCTACTTTCTCCTTCCCCTTCTCCCTTCCCTCCCTCTTGTCCTACCTTCCCCTTCCCCCTTTCCTCCATGCCTCCCTCCCTCCCTCCCTTCCCCTTCCTTTCCCTCCCTTCCCCTCCCCTCCCCTCTTTCTTTCAGTCACCCAGGCTGGAGTGCAGTGGTATGATCTTAGCTCACTTCAACCTCTGCTTCCTGAGTTCATGCGATCCTCCCACCTCAGCCTGCCGAGTAGCTGGGTCCACAGCTGTGCACAATGCCTGGCTAGTTTTTTTTTTTTTTTTTTTTTTGAGATGTAGTCTCACTCTTTCACCCAGGCTGGAATGCAGCGGTGCAATATTGGCTCACTGCAACCTCCACCTCCCTGGTACTATCATTTCCCCTGCCTCAGCCTCCCGAATAGCTGGGATTACAGGCTCAGGCCACAACACCCAGCTTATTTTTTTGTATTTTTAATAGAGGTGGGGTTTTACCATTTTGGCCAGACTGGATTTTCTTCTAGAGTCCATTTGATCCTCTCTCATTTGGAGAGATAGGCTACTTGTTTCGTTAGAATCCAGTGCAGAGTAATGGGGGCTTTTTAGTTGAGATTCCATTTTATTCTTAGTCCTGACTTAGAGCTCTGGAAGTCAAACAGTGACATGTCACCAGAGGAGAGTGAGGATCTGTTCTTGCTGGCAGGGCATTTATGCTCTTAGGGTTACATGTTCAGCTGGAGATTGACTCTGATGATCTATGTTGGGTTCCTAACATCATGTTCTCTGTAGGCTTCCATTTTGCTGGCTTCTTTATCATTCTGAGACATTCTTCATTTATCTTCCAATCCAGATGTCACACCCTGGTTACCTGCTGTCCTTCATCATACACCCAGAATGTGACCAAATTTCCTCTCAGAGGGTGATTTCGTTATGCCCTGTGGGGGTACTTTCCTGAGCAACCACCCATTATTATCTGCTTAGAATGTAGAGAGAACCCAAACAGTAGTTTTTGCTGCTGGCCTCTTAAATTTTGTTAGACTTGACTGCTTGCACAGAGCTGCCTGCAGCAAGTCTTCATAAAAACCTCTGTTATCCTTACCACTCTCTTTGGCTTTCAGTGACATCTTCCAAGGAGATGCGCTTCCACCTGTAGTATGTTTTTCTAGCAGATAGAGGTTTGGTTTTTCTTTTTCTTTTTCTTTTTTTTTTGAGATGGAGTCTCGCTCTTGTCACCCAGGCTAGAGTGCTGCGGTGCCGTCTTGGCTCACTGCAACCTCTGCCTCCTAGGTTCAAACTATTCTCCTGCCTCAGCCTCCTGAGGCATCTATGGGATTACAGATACCTGCCACCACGCCCAGCTAATTTTTGTACTTTTAGTAGAGACGGGGTTTCTCCACGTTGGCCGGGTTGGTCTTGAACTCCTGACCTCAGGTAATCCACCCGCCTCGGCCTCCCAACGTGCTGGGATTACAGGCGTGAGCCACCGCGCTTGGCTTGGGTTTGGTTTTTCATACTAGTTTTGTAACTGCGGCCATTTGGGGTTGATATGTGAAAAGGAGTTGCTCTTATCTTTCTTGCTTAGATTCCTGTAGAATCTGGTACAATTTATTGTTTATCCCTGTTCGCAAATGGATAATCAGGCTGTATTGAACCTTTCAGTCCCAATCAGCCCCTTTGCATAAGAAGAAAAAGAGTAGGCCATGTCTCTTGAACTGGAAAGACGAAAGTGCAGCAGCCCAGTTGCTGCTCTTCCACCCTCGTCCTTACTCTTCCTCCCCACCTCTGTAATTATTGTGAGCCAGGGTCTTCCTTCTTCTGGTATGGTGGCCTGATTTTGCTTCTGTCTTTGGCTCCTTGGTGTTAATTGCATGTCAGGCTCTCTGGTCACCAGCTGTACTTAGTGTGTATCACATTCAGACAGTTCTATTAAGTTCCCTTCAGCTGCTTTCCTCGTCTGCCTAGGTGTTAGGGAGCCTACTTTCTAATGCTTGTAGTAAATGGAAGGATGAATGGATTTCTAGAAGTTGAATTGCTAAGTCAAAGACCATAAATATTTTAAGCTCTTGTATTATCTGTTAGATACATTATAGACTTTTTTTTTTTTTTTGAAATGGAGTCTTACTCTGTTGCCTAGGCTGGAGTGCAGTAGTGCGATTTCAGCTCACTGCAGTCTCCGCCTCCTGGGTTCAAGCAGTTCTTCTGCCTCAGCCTTCTGAGTAGCTGGGATTACAGGTGCCTGCCACCATGCCTGGCTAGTTTTTGTATTTTTAGTAGAGATGGGGATTCACTATGTTGGCCAGGCTGGTCTTGAACTCCTGACCTCAGATGATCCACCCACCTCGGCCTCCCAAAGTGCTGAGATTACAGATGTGAATTATTGCAGCCAGCCAGCCAACCTTTTTTATTTTTTTAAGCTTTGTAAATTGTTATTTTTTTTCTTTTTGGCTCCTGACAGGAAGCAATAGACCTTCTTAGTAGTTGTGTATAGGATTTGTAAGTCTCATTAATGTTGTTAGACATTTAGGCTTTTTTTTTTTTCCCCAAATATTTGATATTTGGATGAATAAAAGCTGGTATTTTCTAATTTTAGTTTTTATATATTTTAAAAATTGCCTTTGAAATTGCTAGCTTTTGTTTTAAGTTTGTGAATTTTGTAGGAAACACAAACATACAGCAAGCTTATTTTGACAGCTTGCAGATCTATAGCAAGGGTTTCCTACCATTTAGATGTCTTTGGTTTTTTTTTCCCCCAAAGTAGATCAAGTTTGTGAATATAAACAAGACAGACCCTCAGTACTCTCATAGGGTAAATCTTAAGGCCTTAAATCTTCACATTCATTTCACAGCACAAAATTTTCTTCAGAAAGTATAACTTAAAAAGTTAAATGATCTTTTCAGAAGCATCTTGTGTAGCATAGTTATTAAGAGCAATGGTTTTGACATTAGACTTAAGCTTGAATCCCAACACTCTGTTTACTAATGGTGTGACCTATTACAAGTTACTTAACCTTTCCGATCCTCAGTTTCTTCCTCTCTAAAGAAAATAGGGATAGAGATATCTACCTTGTTAGGCTGCTGGGATCATTAATTAAAATATTGTATTTTGAACATTTGACATAGTGCTTAGTTTATAGTAAGCCTCAAGACCTGGTAGCTTCTGTCATTATTATAGAACCAAAGTCATTTATAAAATTATTATAATCTTACTAAAACAAACTTACAACCTTTATTTTATTAGTTACATGGGAACATTTACTGTGAATCTGAAATAAAGCTTTTATCATTTAACAAGGGTCATGATGTACTGAATGATGATTATAAAGAGACAAAGCAGTTGCTGGGTGACCAGCGGGGCTCACTCATTACCCAGGTGAATTGGTCCCTCACATCAGCCTTTCAAATACTATTCAGATTTGTGCCTTGGCAAAATGACAAATTACTACATGTCTCAAATAGTTTAAACTACAGTTCTTACCTTTCCAAATGCCAAGGTTCTATTATATTGACTGTAGTTTATTTCAGCCTTGCAGTTAAGTATCAGCCTACCTTTCTGTAGGTTTCTTCAACTATACCTTCAATAGTAAATCCTTGTCATAGTGATGACTTACTCTCCCTGGCCTGCACTAACAACTTATAAGGTAGCCAAAGATACCACAGTTTCCCCCACTTAACAGAGAAGGAAACTGACATTCAGAGAGGTTCACCAAACTGCTTTGCCTAGTTCACCAAGTAGCAAAATCAGGACTAGAACAATATTTAAAGGAATACCTTTAAATATTTTAGGAAATTCAGGAGCTAAGATTGAAGCTTATAGACTGAATATCCACTCCTCTGTGCTAAAGCCATCAAGCTGACATAAAACCAACATATACCATGTAGAGGATGATAGGTCATTTGCTTCTTTTTTTTTTTTTTTCAAGAGGGAGCCTTACTCTGTCACCCAGGCTGGAGTGCAGTGGCACAGTCTTGGCTCACTGCAACCTCCACCTCCTGGGTTGAAGTGATCCTCTTGCCTCAGCCTCCTGAGTAGCTGGAACAACAGGCATGTGCCTAACACCCGGCTACTTTTTTATATTTTTAGTAAGACAGGGTTTTGCTTAGCCTTCCGAGTACCTGGGACAAGTGTGTGCCACCATGCCTGGTTAAGTTTTTTTTGTTTTTTTGTTTTTTTTTTTTGAGACGGAATCTTGCTCTGTTGCCCAGGCTGGAGTGCAGTAGTGCAGTCTTGGCTCACTGTAACCTCCACCTCCTGGGTTCAAGCGATTTTCCTGCCTTAGCCTCCCGAGCAGCTGGGACTACAGGCGTGGGCCAACACGCCCAGCTAAGTTTTGTATTTTTAGTAGAGACATGATTTCACTGTATCGGCCAGGCTGGTTTCAAACTCCTGATCTTGTGATCCTTTCGCTTCGGCCTCCCAAAGTGCTGGGATTACAAGCGTGAGCCACCACACCTGGCCAATTTTTATATTTTTAATAAGACAGGGTTTTGCTATGTTGGCTAGGCTGGTCTTGAACTCCTGACCTCAAGTGATCCACTTGCCTCGGCCTCCCAGTGTTGGGATTACAGGTGTGAGCCACTGCGCTGGGCTTGCTTGCTTTCTTGGCTTTCCTTTCCTTGCCTTCCTCTCCTTGCCTTTCTTTCCTTCCCTCCCTCCCTCCCTTCCTCCCTCACTTCTTTCCTTCCCTCCCTCCCTCCCTCTCTTCTTCCCTTGTCTTCCTTTCCTTCCCTCTCTCCCTCCCTTCCTTGCCTTCCTTTCCTTGCCTTCTTCTCCTTGCCTTGCCCCTCCCTCCCTTCCTTCCTTCCTCTTTTTCTTTTTCTCTTTCTCTTTTTTCTGTGTTTCTTTCTGTCTTTCTGATGGAATCTCTGTTTTCCAGGCTGGAGTGCAGTGGTGTGATCTCAGCTCACTGCAACCTCCGCCTCCCGGGTTCAAGTGATCTCCTGGCTCAGCCTCCTGAGTAGCTGGGATTACAGGCACATACCACCACATCCCACTGATTTTTGTATTTTTAGTAGAGACTGGGTTTTGCCATGATAGCCAGGCTGGTCTCAAAACTCCTGACCTCAAGTGATCTGCCTGCCTTGGCCTCCCAAAGTGTTGGGATTATAGGCATGAGCCACTGCGCCCAGCTGCTTTTTTCTTTCTTATCCACCAGTCCCTTCTCAGGCTCTTTTTTCCATCTCCTTCCTATTTTCACTGGGGAACCATTTCCTTTTTCTGTTACCTTCCACTGTTTACATTTCTCCTGGAGTTTAATAAATTGATATATTTGCATATATTGTATCCTGGATGTACACTGAAACAAGAAACAGTACATACATTTTTTTTTTAGCAAAAGCTTGTATCTGTATGTTGAAAGCCTTGACTCCTGAAATCTAAACTGATAGGTATTTCTCCCTTGCATTGGTTCCAGGGGAAATCAGCCTTATGGTCCCACCTGTTACATTATCAGGACAACCGGCAGAGAAAACTCACTTCAGGAAGCCTCAGTACCTCAGGTAAGATAGTCCCTGGATTGGAGAGTCTGCCCTCTCCCTACTTTTCCATCCCTCACTGGAATGATCACTTGAAGCAAACTATTCCAGGTCAAAGAAGCCTTTGCTCTGGAATGTTTTCTGTTTTGAATATGGAGCCACCAGACTCTCTGAACCACAGAGCATACCAAAACCATGTGATTTGCTTTCATTATGTGTTTCTATATCCTTTTTACTGGCAAGATAGAAAATTTATGTGGGCAAGAGGAGAGTCTCAAAATGAATTTGGGTTTTACTGTGGTACTGGTGTCCTAGGTTTGGAGCAGGCTGTTCACAGAGTCTTTTTTTTTTTTTTTTACTTCTCTGACATGGGCATTATGATTATCTATCATGTTAGTCAAGAGAGCTGTGGTTAGTGTCCTTCCTTGGACCTCCTCAGAGTCAAGTCCTGGTGTGAATGATCCCTTATACTTCTTATCTGTTTCTAACCTAATAAAAATGCCAGAGTTTGTGACAACACCAGAGGTCATCTAGTCTAGGCCCTTTATTTTATAAGAGGAGGAAACGATTCCAGAGAGGAATTGAATTTACTTATGATCACAAAGTGAGCTCATGGAAGAGGCCAGACAAGAGCCAGTCATCTTGTCTCCTGCTCTGATGTTTAGACCATCCTACAGTTTCCTTTCCAGGGTTGTCCCCCTCCTTCTTTTACTTCTTGGGTGCATCTTCCCTTCACATCACCCTTTGTTCTTCAATCTCTGCCAGAAGATTTGTTTACCTTTCTTGGATGTTTTTATCTCAGTGGTAAAGACGAGTTAAATGTGGTAAAAAGATGAGCATGAACTCTTTGCTCTTGAACTAGTTGACCTTAACTAGCACTGAACCTGGGGAGATAATTGGCTGAAAACTAGGGACAAGAGTTCTCCAGATAGGCTTATGAGGAATTTTTTGGCCCGCTTTCTGCATGTGTAAGAGCAGGTTCTTATTAAGAATGCTATAGAAGTCATCGTCAAGGAATAAACTCTAGCCAAAAATTCTCAACAGCTTGATGATGAAAATACTAAGTTTTAAACATTAGGCAAGACATGAGGATATAAAGGTATTATATCTCCTCTTCTCCTAGAGGTCCTGTCATTCTGGAATGGAACCAGAACCTTCTTGTTCTTTACACATTCTCTTGGCACTTTTGTAGGCTGCTATAAAGCCAGAACAGGATGTGAGTAGTGGCTTCAAGTGGAAGCACTGCTTCTATGGAACACGGTGAGAGCATGAAAGGAGCCAGGAAATCTGTGTTCCAGTACTGACTCTGCTAGTTGGTGATGTAGGCAAAGCAGCTAACCTCTTTGAATGTCATTTTCCTTCTCTGATAAGTGGGAGAAATTGTGATATCTTTTTTGGCTACCTTATAAATTGTTAGAGAATTAAATGAGATAATATCCATAAAAATATAAAATTTGATCTTTAGTAGGAATTTAATAAATATTTATGAAATGATTGATTAAAGCGTTACCAGTGTAACCAACTGTTTCCCATAGCAGTTTGTGATTTGAGATAAGGGAAGGGTAGTCAGCTGTTTGAATATTCAGATGTCTTTGGACATGACCAACTTGTTTATTCTAGGAATACTTCTTGATTCAGAACGTAGGAAGTCTGATGCCAGCTCACTCATGCCTCCCCTGAGGATCTCCCTGATTCAGGATATGAGGTTAGTATGGGCTCACATGTAATAAGCCACTAAAATCCTGTTTTCATTTGCTGCTTAGGTGTCCACTTTAAGTAACAGGGTCTCAGTGGCTGCTACAGCATCTCAGCTAACATGGAAGCCCTCCTAATCATGAAGCCTTGTATTTCATGATACATTTGTAGAACTATACAACAGCTGGGTTTTCTGGCATTTTTGGAGATAAGGGAGCATAGGAGAGTATCCCAAGCCCTAAGAGCTCAGGGTTAGCCTTGCTTTTTAAGGGCTGTACTGTCTTTTTTCCTCCCCAAATATGGTGAGCCTGTCTGGCTACATGGAAGTCCAGTATTTGGAGAATAGACATGGGCTCTCCCAGGGTGGGATAGGACTGTCTCAGCAGGTCTCCTTTGGCTTTACAGGTGAGGTATTGGCAGTGAGTTCACCTCCCATTCCACCCTCCACTTCCCTTTACATTCTTCCTCCAGGCACATCCAGAACATCGGGGAAATCAAGACTGATGTGGGAAAGGCCAGAGCATGGGTGCGACTGTCTATGGAAAAAAAGTTACTTTCCAGACACCTGAAGCAGCTTCTCTCAGACCATGAGCTCACCAAGTAAGGCTGCTCCGCCAGGGGTAGAAGCAGGCTCCCAGGAATGGAGGGAAGAGATCGGAAACTTGTTTGGGAAGGGGGAGTATTCAGTGTGACACTGCTGTTGCATTCAGCTAACCTCTTTGCTTATGAAGGTTTCGCAGTATTTCCTCCTCTCCCGGAGAATACTTCTGCTATATCAGTTCTCCCCATCTTCTCAACCTGCATGTCTAAAACTAGCTTTCTTAGAGAGGTAGTGAGAAAAATGAGGCCCTCCTCTTCTTCCTGTATTCGGGTGATATGTGTACCTCTTGGACATAAGGCATTTCCTTCGTCTCTTTCCTTTTCTGGGAAGCAAAGAATTGGGGAATTAAAAGGAAACTTCTGAGATGTCCTCTTCTCTCTCTTGTTTAACACATTATACCCCTCACCTCTCTTAGGGTGTCTGTGGTCTTTTCTTGTCTATACTTTTGCATGACCCTAGTCCTGTCTGTACTCTACCTGGTAAACTTCTTCAGGGTCCAGTTTTCTTTGCCACAGTTTTCCTGGACTCCCCAGAAACATGGTTCATCCCTCCTCCAGGCATGTATAACATTTGTTAGAGTATTTGTTCATCCTCTTTTTCACCACCGGCGTATTGTATTATCTATTTGCTTGCTACTTACTGAAGTTTGCTCTCATTGAAGGCGTAAACCTGTCCCTTTCCCAAGGCTGAGTATGTTGCTTAGCATCTGCTAGGTATTCAGCCAGTGCACATAAAAGGTATGCATAGCTGCACGGACAGAAGGAGGTGGACAGCTTAGGAAGACTAAATCTTGATAGAATGTCCCTCAGACTCTGGGATTTCCAGCTAGCCCCCAAGACTGTTTGTAGCTTGGAATGGGGTAAGGTGGAGGCAGGGTTGTATATTCATGGGGGCTGTATATTTGTGGAACCCACTGAATTATAAATTTCAAAGGAAGCAGTGAGTTAGCTCTCATGTAGGGAGCCTAAACTCTTTCTCCTTGACTTGTCTGCAGTGATTAACACCATGTAGTGCCCCTTTACCTTGAAACTCACTTTATGTGGCTGCCATGACCTTAAACCATCTTTCTCCCCTTACTCTTTGCACAGTGTTGGCTTTCACCATCTTCAGTTCTTTGCATGCACACACTTTCTTTGTTGTTTTTTCACTTGCTTGCTCTCTTACTCGATCTCACCCATTCTCATGACTTCTCTCACCTCTAAGCAGGAGATGCCCACATCCGCAGTTCTAGCCCTGACATGTCTCTTGAACTCCACTCCTGCATTTATTTCCATTCTTATATCTTACCTTTTTAGCTCAGTGAGAACAAAAGCAAGCTTCACAAAGTCTTCACCATAACTCCTTTACTCTCAGATTTTTCATTAATATCACCACTGTGCTCTGAACAGCCTACCCCCACTTCTTTTCCATACCTACATTCAAAATTTGGAGTCAGTTTTGACTCCTTGGTTTGCTTTATCTCCGACATACAGGTTTCAGGTCCTTCACCTCTGTCTCACCTGTCTCCTTACCATTTTTACTGCAGAGTCTTAGTTTAATCCTCATTTCCCTTTCACGTCTCACCTGCACTAAATCTAAATTTCCTGAAGTTGGTCATGGCTGTCTCTGTTGCTAGGCCAAATTGCAGAAACCCTTTACTTGGCAGATTGCAAACTCCTTAGTTTAAAATTTTAGGACCTTCCTTCATTTGAGTAGCTTAACTTTTTTTTTTTTCATTGACACCTTTGGTACAGTTGCCTGACTTCTCAGTCTCATTGCTAACTGATCACTTCCCGGAACCCTCAACTCCAGCTAAACTGGTTTCCAAGTCTCCAAACTTAGACAAGTTTCCTGTCTGTACAACACTTGTCTAAATTTCTGCTGCCCTTCAGGCCTCTCTTGTTCTACAAGGCCTTCAAGGACTACTGAAGCATATGGCTCTTTAAATTCCCAGAAACAACCTTTTATTTGATTATTCACTGTGAGTAGTACTATACCATGGCTTTACCTGATTTACTCACTTAGAGTGCATTTGAGGGGTAGGCACTTTCTTCTCCAGCACCTGGACATAACAGGCCTGGGTTGATAAATTATTTGTTGAAAGTTTCTTATATACCGGGCTAGGTAGAACCTCACAGATCTGAATCCTGTACCTCTCTGGCCATGGTGATTGCAGCTTGGGCAATAAGGACAGTTGTCTTCTTTTGTTTTTTGTAATGAAGGCCTGCATATTTGGCTCTGGGTATCTCCTCTATTTGGGGGAAGATATCATTGCTTTGCAGCTGCAGAGGGCCTGGAATACCAGGCCAAGAAGTTGCCCTCTGACAAATAGGCAGTGGAAATAGAGGGAGAAAGTTTGAAAAGAGGGGAATGATGTGATCTACATGGCTCTTCCTTGCCTGTGACTTGGATCAGAGGCAGGAGCATGCCCTTTATTGCCCCTGAAGCTGTGCTGGCCTTATGCCCCATTCAGAGCAGTGTTCTGACTTGTGGCTCTCAGATCTACTGAGGGTTCAAAACTAGGCCTGGTGATGAATGGTGACCACAGATCTCCATCCACTGCCAGTCACACACCATACACTAGCCGACAGCCTAACTAGAAGCCTGAGAGGACTTGTGTCATTCTTGATGGAATTTCTTCTAGCCTTCAACTTAGAAAAGGAGATTTCATGACCTCTGACTCTTGACATAGTAACATCAACCCTTTGACACCGGTAGTATTTGATTTTTGTTGTTCTGATGTCCATTGTCCCTCTGGCCGTTAGTTACAGAGTAGCTAGCTTTGTTACTTTATAGGGTGAACCTAAGGAACTTGAGGCTTGACATCTTATGCTTCCCTTAGCTGTCTCCTTTCAGAACTGAAAATTCTAGTTTCTTTCCCTTCCTTTTGTTCAGAGACTGATGTGTTGCTTCCTCTCCAACAGAAAGTTATATAAGCGCTATGCCTTCCTGCGCTGTGATGACGAGAAGGAGCAGTTCCTCTATCACCTCCTGTCTTTCAATGCCGTCGATTACTTTTGCTTCACCAATGTCTTCACAACTATCCGTGAGTAGCCCTGTGCTCCCAGCTGGCCTTCTCAAGGCAGTCTTTATGAACCTCCCTGAGACTCACTCATTGTCCCCTTTTTAAAGAAAGAAGATTATCCTTTGTACTTTCTATTTGTCTTTTCTTCTGTGGGGAGGGAGGTGCGCTTGCCCTCCTTGAAGGCTGTGTTTTCTCTGAAATTTCTCATTCTTGTTCTGAACTGGAGAGCTCAATCTTTTTTGCCATTGTGTTGTCAGCGTTGTCCTAGGCACTGCTCTGGCAGCCTAAGGTGATGAAGGTGGAGTGGAGTTGGGTGAGCTGATGCAGTTTACCTCCCTCCCTGCATACCTAGAAATAATCTCTTTGTTTTGGCCTGAGAGAGTCACTTGGCATCATAGAATGTTTCAGACCAGGCTGAAGGGAAAAAGCGCTCTTTCCTGAGGTAGCAGAAAGAACTCCAAATACCAGTGGGAGATTTGAGTCTGGTCCCAGCTCTGGCTAACTCATTATGTGTCTGTGAGCAGAGTCTATCCTGCTGTGAGTCCCAGTCTCTCTATTTACAGAATGGGGAAGAGGGTTCAACATGGTCTAATTCCCTTTGAGCCTCTTCTTTCCCTGATGCCAGGATTCTCTGCTGGGTGGGGGATAGTCTCCGAGCTTGCCACATGGCTAGTTCTTCTGCCAGTTATTCAGCAGCATGGACTCTTGTTTCTGTCTGATGCTACATCTTCCCTTTTAGAGACTAGGGCTACGGGCTTAATAGAAATAGCACTAGACTGGAATTTAGAAGACCCAAGGCAAACTTTCCCTCCCCGTGCCTTGGAAAAAGGATTGCAATACCTCATCTCTAAAGATTGTTATGATTATTATTAGGGTTCATGAGATGATAGGTTGAAGAGTGCTCTGAAAAGCAGTTCAGTACAATGTTAAGAGTTGGTGATATTATTTAACGAACAGGTTCACTTAGCTCTGAGCCTATAGATAGGCTTGAATCTTTGATCTTTGGGTGGTAAGCCTGAGAGGAGTGAAATTGAGCAGGGGCTTTGGGGTAGTTGGCTAATATTCTACATCAGCCAGGGACTAGGTCCTGGGGCCCTGCTGTTCCAGGGCTCTGCTGGGGCTGGGATAGTAGGGGCCACACTTTGCCAGCTTGCCTGGAACAGGTCAGAGTCCCATCTGGTATGGGAAGGATTTCTGATCCCCCTTAATACTTTTGTGCCTTCCCCTAAACAGTGATCCCGTACCACATTCTGATCGTACCAAGCAAGAAGCTGGGGGGCTCCATGTTCACTGCCAACCCGTGGATCTGTATATCAGGAGAATTGGGTGAGACACAGATCCTGCAGATTCCCAGGAATGTGCTAGAGATGACCTTCGAGGTATGTGTTATTTGGGGCCACAGCTCTGTGGGGATCTGACTTTGGAACAGCTCCTCTGGAGAGTTTTCTGCAGGGTTTTCCAGAGGCCTTGCTATGTACAGTGTCATGCATCAGCAGAGCTGACCTTCCTGAGATGATCTAAGGCAGGAACCAAGGACTGACCCTGAGGAGGGGGATCCTACCCTATCTAAACAGTGTCTGTCTCAAAGGCACTTAGTTGTCTGGACTTGCTTGTCTTTCCATGCATAGTGTGTTGAGAAGTCCCCAAGAGTTCTTTCAGCTGCTCAGCCCACCTGTTCCCAGAGACCTCAGAACCCACTTCTAGAACCTCTTGCTCCCAGGCCCTATTCTTATTCTAGGTAGCAACATTTTCTTTCTCAGCCTTGGGCTGCCCCATGAGATAGTGCTGTGCCACAGTTCTGGTGGTATGTAGAGCCATGACCTACCCCTGCAATTTCTCAGGTTGCAGGCAGCCAGTCAGATCTGCGCCTTTGAGGACTGCTGTTCTTTTCTCTGATTTTCCTGACCTACCTCATCTTCTCTATTATGTAACAGTGCCAGAACTTGGGGAAGCTTACGACTGTCCAGATTGGCCATGATAACTCTGGGCTGTATGCCAAATGGCTGGTGGAGTTTGTAATGGTCAGGAATGAGATCACAGGACACACCTACAAGTAAGTGTTCCCTAGATAGGCTGTAAGGTAGAGGGGCAAGATGTATCTACAGGAGCTCTTTGGTGCTTGGTTATGTGGAGTTCCCAAGGAGACCCTTTAGGTTGTCATAGCCTGAGGCAACTTCCTGTTTAGCTCTACCTTATTACACTTGAAGGTAAGCAGAAGGAGGGTTTCTTTTTCTTTTTTTTTTTGAGACAGAGTCTTGCTCTGTCATCCAGGCTGGAGCGCAGTCGCACAATCTTAGCTCACTGCAGCCTCCGCCTCCTGGGCTTAGGCGATTCTCCTGCCCCAGCTCCCCAGGTAGCTGGGTTTATAGGCACGCACCACCATGCCCAGCTAATTTTGTATCTTTAGTAGAGATGGGTTTCACCATGTTGACCAGGCTGGTCTTGAACTCCTGACCTCAGGTGATTTGCCTGCCTCAGCCTCCCAAAGTTCTGGGATTACAGGCATGAGCCACCAGGCCCAACCAGAAGGAGGGTTTCTAAGTGAAGGTATGTGGAATTGCTGTGCTGAGATCCCAGGCCACCTATGCCACTCAGGTGGCTCCTCTGATGACAGATGATGGGACCAACAGAGCCTTGAAGGAGTCTCTATCCTGGTTTGAGAGACTATTTCTAGGGATTGGCTTTGTTGATGGCTCTTGCTGAGCAGCAGGGAGGACCTGGCTGCTCCGATAGGCCATTGTCTGACCTTCAGGTTCCCATGTGGCCGGTGGTTGGGGAAGGGCATGGATGATGGAAGCCTAGAGCGGATCCTAGTTGGGGAGCTGCTCACATCCCAGCCTGAGGTGGATGAGAGGCCATGCCGGACCCCGCCGCTGCAGCAGTCCCCCAGTGTCATCCGGAGGCTTGTTACCATCTCACCCAACAACAAGCCCAGTAAGTGGGAGGAGGGGTTGGGCCCTCATGCCACACATCTGGGGAATGGGTGGATTTCTGCGAACCCTGTTATGGGAACCCAGATCCCAGACTTTGTGGCTGCCTCAGGAAACACTTCTGCTGACAAAGCCACCTCAGGCATATGGCACCCTCCTCTTATGAATCACTGAGAGCATTTGGCACTCTCCTTAGAGGCCTGGCAGGAGATGAGAGAATTCATGTTGCCAAGCCTGGGTGCTGTATATATTCATGCATGATCCATTAAAGGACAAGGGCCTACTTTCTGGCCTTCTCCTTCCTGACTCCTGGGCTTCATAGCCAAGGCATGGCTGTCTTTTGGTTGCCCAAAATTCCAAGGTAAAATGGAAAATAAACTTTACCAGCATTTCTTAGAGATAGAACTCTAAGGTATTAGCTTTTGTGTTTTTCCCCTAAGGTTTTGGGGAGAGCTAGCTCAGCAAAGCTGGGTGGGCAAGAGCCTCTGCTTCCTAGGGTCCAGCTTCCCGGCCTCTCCCATGGGCCCTCCCTGTGTCCTCAATCTCCTGCTCAGGCAGCTAAGCACTGTTAGCCTCTGAGATTGGTTAGGGATGTCTGCTTGATTTTTATCAGAGCTGAACACTGGACAGATCCAGGAGTCCATCGGGGAGGCAGTCAATGGCATTGTGAAGCACTTCCATAAGCCTGAGAAAGAGGTGAGCCTTCTTGCCATCCAGTCCAGGGCCTTACATTGAGTAAGAGAGAATGATCATGTTTTTCCAGTTATCCTGTTATGCTCTTACAGGCCCATGTGCTGTGGACAGCCCAGAGTCTTAGAGAGTGTGTGCCTCAGCTAGTTTGAGATGGAGCAGACTCCTTCCTCTGGGGGCCTTTGCCTCAGGTTGCCCTGTTTTCCCTCTATACTGATGACCCAGTAGAGTCCTTGGGCCCCCAGTGAACAGTGCATATTCCTGTCCTCTTCGGGATTTGCCTGTGTCTCCTTGAATAGTGGCCACACTGGCTTTGTCCTCCAGTGGGGAATCTACTTATATGTGACCCAGATCCATCATCTCTTCTTTCATCCATTTATTCAACAGCTCTTCACTGGGAGCTGCTCTGAGCCAGGCAATGTGCCAGGTATTAGGGGAACAGACAAGGTCCTGGCCTGTCTTTTGCAGCCCTCCCAGCTGTGGGCCGTGGGTTTAGGGATGCAATGGTGGGAGGGCAGGTTGGCTGAGACAAGCCTGGCACCCTCCCATTTCCTTACATAGCGAGGCAGTCTGACGCTGTTGCTCTGTGGAGAATGTGGCCTTGTCTCGGCCCTGGAACAAGCTTTCCAGCATGGATTTAAATCACCCCGGCTCTTCAAAAATGTCTTCATTTGGGATTTCCTGGGTGAGTTGGGCTGCAGTATGAGGGTGGGAAAAGCATGCAGAGATAAAGAGGGCTTACCAACATAGCATGAGTGCTGACCACTCTGAGAGGCAGAACCCAAATTAGGTGACTCTCAGATCTCATTCGTTTGCTCCGGTTTTTCTTGAAGTGGGGAATGACAAGAGCTCTTCTCCCCACTTGGTAAACGCGTATCTCTTGAGAACTGGACAGAAAATATTCTTCTAGACATCTTTTATTTAGTAAGGACTTAGTCCTGAGTCCTTACACGTTCTCCTTATAGATCCCAAAGTCCAGTTGAGTGTCTTGGAGCCCAAACCCTATGTTGCACCCATTTGGAGAATTTTCATGCAAGAACCCATCCTCAGAATTTTTTATGTCTTCAGACTAGGGAAAAGAACATCTTTATATCAAGGGCCACATAAATAAATTTTAAATATAAGGATAGGGAATATATGGATCATTTTGAAACATGACCAGTAGCATCAGAACACTTGTGCTATTCTCATTAAGTTACCTATGTGGACTTGGAGAGGCCCGTGGCAAGTGGCGTGCAGGACCATCAGGTTGGTGTTCAAAGCCTTTTCACTGGTAAGCTTTTCTACGCTTCACAGAAAAAGCACAAACCTATTATGAGACATTAGAGCAGAATGAAGTAGTCCCTGAGGAAAACTGGCATACAAGGGCCCGGAACTTCTGCCGATTTGTCACTGCAATCAACAATACTCCCCGGAACATTGGCAAGGACGGCAAGTTTCAGATGCTGGTGTGCTTGGGAGCCAGGTACTGCAGACTCAGGGCCCAGAGTGCATAGCAGCCAGCCTTGGTGGTGGTGCTGGAGGCCTGATGTGGTGCAGGGGTGAGGAATGGCTAAGGACAGGTGCTGTTAGGCAGATGAGGCCTTAGAAGGCTTCTTAGAAGCCCTTCCTTAATTTTCTTTATGTATCGTGTATGGTCACATGATGCATAACATTTGTCAGTGATGGACTGCTTATGGGATGATGGTCCTATAAGATTATAATACTCTGTTTTTACTGTACCTTTTATAGGTTGAGATATGTTTAGATACCCAGATACTTACCATTGTATTTCACTTGCCTGCATTATTCAGCACAGTAACATGCTGTACCGATTTGTAGTGTAAGAGCAACAGGCTAGATGTATAGTAAGCTCTACCATCTAGGTTTGTGTGAGAACCCTATGAGGTTTGCAATGACAAAACTGACTAATGGCACATTTCTCAGACTATATCCCTGTCAATAAGCAACATATGACTTATGTGTGTGGTGATCTGTTGGGGTAGGGATGACAGCGTATATGTAACCAGCAGGGAGGATCCCCATTTTGGAAGGAAAGATCAATGTCATACCACTGTGGAAGTTTGAAGCAGAGTGTATGTAGTCATTCCTTCATTAAACACTTGAATGGCCTTGTGGAAGTTGGTAGGAAGAGAGCTGAATAAAGCATGGTCCCTTACCATTTAGAAGCTTACTTGTCTTAATTAAATATAGTACATGGAAGAAGGTTTTTGTAGGTCCACAAAAGAAGTGCACATTCATACAATATGCTGAAAAGGTAGAGGAGAAAGGTCAGAGAAGAATTCAGGGAGGAGTTGGTATTTGAAGTGATCCTTTAATGAAAGGAAAAAACAGAACATGGCAAGGGCAGTAATAAATAGGAAACACAGTTGAAAGGAGGCTAGGGCCCCTGAGCTGGAACAGAGAAAGATTCCTTTCATATTAGTACAAAATTGTTTCATCAGGGGACTGAAGGAATATTAATCTGGTATTATGGACGGTATGTATTAGAGTGGACGAGATTGTTAGGGGCTATTCCTGTAGGTCAGGTGAGAGAGCATAAAGGTCAAGTAAACTTAAGGCAGTAGTTTATTCAGGATGTATAAAGGGAGGGAATTGGCATAGTGGTTAAAAACAGACTCCAGAACCACATTCACTAGGTTCAGATCTCAAGTTATCTGTTTACTAGCCATGTGATCTTGGACAAGCTATGTAACTTCCATCTACCCAACTTTCTTCATCTATAAAGTGGAGATAATAATAGTACCTACCTTATATCATAGGGTTATCATGAAGATTAAATCTCTTATGTCAGTGCCAGCACATGCTGAGTGCTGTGTGATGTTAGTGCTTATTATTATTCCTGGTGGTGGTAGCTGTGGGAGGAGAGAAGCTCTGGGAGACATTGGTGATAGGGCTGTCTAGGCAGGGCGATGCAGGCAGGGGAGAAGGAGCAGGCCTGTGGGCTGGTGACAAGACTGATTTGGGTTAGCTTTATTTGGTGTCCCGGAGCTGAAAGACCTTTTTGTCAGTCCCTGTTAGGGAAAGGGGGCTTTGGGAAGCTGTCAGTGTCTCCAGCTTCAGACTTAGTTCATGGTTTTCCCCTTGGCCTTGCACTAACTGTCTCTCTTCTTTTTCCCTTGCCCCTCTGACCCACCTGGACTGCTCCTGCTCTGCCAGAGATCACCTTCTACACCACTGGATTGCCCTGCTGGCTGACTGCCCCATCACTGCACACATGTATGAGGATGTGGCACTGATCAAAGACCATACACTTGTCAATTCCTTGATCCGTGTGCTGCAGACATTGCAGGAGTTTAACATCACGCTGGAGACGTCCCTTGTTAAGGGCATCGACATCTGACCTCCCAGCATCAGCCAGCAGCAGGACTGAGAAGGACTCTCATCCTGCAGCTCTGACCCTTCTTCCCAAAGGGACTTAAGAGAATTGTGCAGGAGAAGGAGACAAAATGTACACTCACTGTAAAAAGAAACTAGAGGATTTTTGGAATAAATAATCTATTTTAGAGTTTATTTGCTGATTTGCTTTTTACACACTTTCATGTGAAAGAGTGATAAGGGAGAGGGAGCGAGGCTGGTGCCGCTTATTTTGAAGCTGGTGCCCTCCCTCGCCATGGCCACATGCTGGAAGCCTGAGGCCTCCCTGGACTGAGCCTGCGGCACTGCATGCGGGACAGTTATGTTCCCATGCCCCGTCGCATTAATGAGGCCCTTCCACATCATTTTTAAACTAATGTTTTCTATATTAACATTATTATGGATATTTGGCTTTCATAGGCCACACACAGGTGTGCTGAGCGGGAAGCCCCATGCTCCAATCAAAGGCGTTTTTAGTAGTGCCTCTAAGTAAGCACTGATGAGTCAGTCCCACATCTTTTCTTTTTTGTCAGTATTTTTTGGGAAGGAGACATGCCAGATGTGTCATCGTGCCAAATATCACATTTTCTGTTGGCACACAGTTTCACAGAAGTAAACATAAGCATGTTTTAACAGGTTTTTCTTTCCTTTTTTCTTTTTTAAAATGTCTTATTTATTTAACCCTTCATTGTGTGTTTTTAAGTATTTTCTTTTTTTTTAAGGAAAGGAAAAGCTTGTCACAATCTAACTGGCTATGTTATTATTATTAAATTTATGTTTTGCAACTTAGAAACCAGCTACAGTATGGCCCACTTAATAAAACACCTGAAACAAAACTGCATGGATCATTGATTTTTATGGAGGTTTGTGAGCAGTGGGCGGCTGCGAGTGCAGTTGGGTCCATCTGCAAGGATGGGCCTGTGGCATCACCTCTCTCCACCAGCAGGCTTGGGGTTGTGCTCTGCTCAGGATGCCCCTGAGGTCTAGGGTCTCCTGGACCCTTCTGCCCACAGTGCCAGGAGCTTTCCTAGCTATAAACCCAAGTGGCCGATTGACAAAGATGTAGACAAACTTCTTTCCTCACTCCACAGAGGGGGAGACTGAGGCACAGGAGGGAAAAGACCTGGCCAGAGTTGCAAAGTTTGTCACTTGACTGAGACAGGATGGGCCGTTTCTTGAGAGGGTAAGGGAGACCAGGTGTGGGGAATCTCTTTTTTGAAATAAAGGCTTGCTTTCCTGGGGATGGCAGGTGGAAGACCTTTATGAGAGGTCTGGCTTCCTTCATTTTTATTCTTCAGGCTGTTCTGCAGAAGCAGGAAGCTCCAGAAGAAGTGTGATGTGATCAAGTCAAGCACCTCAAACCAATCAGCGCTCTCTTTTTGCTTCCCTGGTTTGCACGCAAGTTCCCTTTGCCTGGAATGCCTCCCCTTAACCCACTTCCTGTTCACTGTTGAGGATTTACTTTAGCAGTCACCTGCTGTGAAGTGTCCCATCTCCCTAGGCAGTTAATCATTCCATCCTTGTGCTCCTTCAGTTTCTTAGATGCTAGCATCTCCTCTCTGGATTGTTATTGCCTGGTTTTACTTCAGGCTCACCCCCTGCACTGTGAGCTCCCAGAGGGCAGAGGGGATCTCTTGTCTGTCTCCATCCCCCAGACCTGGCAGCTGGTGAAGGCTTCTAAAGAGATGAGGAAAGGGCCTGGAGAGCTGCAGTGCAGCGTTCTGCCTGCAGAGGGGGTGAGAAGCTGCACTGCAGCCATTTGCCTGGAGGCCTCAGAGCCTTAGTTCTTCTGGAGATGGCGGAGGAAAGGGGAGGGAAGGTAGGCAGTACCTCTGGAGCAGCAAGTGGGATTCTTGGCTGGCTAAGAAGGGCGGTATGGAACTCAGCGGTATGTGTATATATTGTGGGCCTAGGCCTGAGCCTAGATGTCTGTGTCCAACTATTTCTTTGCTCTAACAGCTGATCCTACTGTGAATGTCTCACGCTCTACTGTTTTGTTTTATAATCTTCAGCAAATGCTTTTTGGAATGACATGTGATATAAGGTAACAGAACCCTTGAGACGACTGCAGTCTTCTGTGCAGGGCCCACCCACGCCTCTCCAGCGGCCCTGGGTAAATCAAGTGTGTTTGGCTCACTAAGCTAGCAGTCCTGCCTGCCTCAGCTTCTGCTCCTGCTCTACTTCAGTGCTTCCCAGATTCTGAGATTTCAGGGACTGGTAAATAAACAAGCAAGCAAATGAACTCCGTGAATTATTATAACGCGAACACCCTTGTAATCACCACTCAGGACAAGAATAGAACTTTGCCACATGCCCCAGGATCCTTCCTGTTCCCCCTTCCCCATCACAGCCCCAGCGCCTCCCTCCTTCCATCTTCTTGACTTTTATAAGTAATAATTTCATTGAGTTTCTTTATTGTTTTGTCACCCAAATGTGCATCCCCACATGCTATAGTCTTATTGTCCTTTTAAAAAAACTTGATACATCTTTTAAATCTCTTTTGATCTAAAGGGTCCCCTCTACTCCTTTCCTTTTCTTACAGTTTGTTGAAGATTTTAAACCATTTAATCTGTAGTTTTCCACAGCCTGGATTTTTGCTAATTTCATGCCTATAGTACAGTTCAATGTACTCATTTATCCTCTGCATTTCCTGCAGGTCAGCAACTAAATCTAGACAATTTGCCTCAGGTTGGTCCCTTTGATAAGACTCTAGGTGGTGTGCTCATTTAGCAAGAGGCATATAACTTCAGGTTTTCACTTGCGTTATGTTAGCAGCCACTGATGCTCAGTGCCTACAACCAGCAAGTAATTCTCTGGGGACTGCAACATGGGGATATTCTAATCTGTCATTTTGTCTTCATTTAATAGATGGAATAATTTTATAAGGAGACATTGTCTCTCATCTAAGGTTTGATTTCCCAGTAGAGTTTGTGTGGGAAAGGCAGGTAAGTGCTTAATTCTTTTACTTACCCAACTATTAAGATAATGAACTGGTTCTTTGTTATCCTCAGAAGGTGATTTTTTTTTTTTGAGACGGAGTTTCTCTCTTGTTACCCAGGCTGGAGTACAATGGCGCGATCTCGGCTCACTGCAACCTCCGCCTCCTGGATTCAGGCAATTCTCCTGCCCCAGCCTCCTGAGTAGCTGGGATTACAGGCACGCGCCACCATGCCCAGCTAATTTTTTGTATTTTTAGTAGAGACGGGGTTTCACCATGTTGACCAGGATGGTCTCGATCTCTTGACCTCGTGATCCACCCGCCTCGGCCTCCCACAGTGCTGGGATTACAGGCTTGAGCCACCGCGCCCGGCCAAAGGTGATTATTTTTTAAACAATATTATGAACTCATGGGTTTAAATGTATTTGATAGGCTTCGTCCTGTTGTACTTATTATCTTTATTGTCCTACCTTTGGCCATTGGGAGCCTCTTTAAGTTGGCTCCTGAGTTGTTTTGACACAACTCTGGTTGTCTTTGATATCTGCTTTGTTTTCTGGTATTGTAAAATGTTCTAGGCTCACTTTATCCATTTTCTGTCCTAGACTTGGAATCAGTGATTTCTCCAAAAAGCCTTGGTTTCCTTAAGTGAGAAATGGTATTGCAAGACCATAATTGGGCACTAGAAATTCTCATTGTTCCTGGCAAGTCATTGGCTCTAGGCCTATTCAGTAGACAGAGCTTTGGTTATATTTAAATATAACATTTTTATACATTTAATATAGACATCTAGAAATAAAGATGTATAGTAAATATGTATATTTAAAGATAGTGAAGATCTAGGAATTATATCTGTTAAATGCACATATAAATATGTATATATTCATGAGTGTGTATGCACACATGCATCTGTGGTGCCCCGTGATTTAACAGTGTTATTTCTGATTCAAATTCAGGATTATAGGGTGCCTTAGTCTGTTTAATGCTGCTACAGAGGAATACCTGATGCTGGGTAATTTATAAAGAAAAGAAGTTTAGCTGGCTGATGGTTCTGCAGGCTTTCCAGGAAGCATGATGCTGATATCTGCATCTAGTGAGGGCCTCAAGCTGCTTCCACATATGGTGGAAGACGAAGGGGAGTCAGTGTGTGCAGAATCACATGGCAAGAGAGTGGTGAGGGAGAGAGGAAGAAGGCTGGGCATGGTGGCTCACTCCTGTAATCCCAGCACTTTGGGAGGATGAGGCAGGTGGATCACTTGAGGTCGGGACTTCAAAACAAGCCTAGCCGACGTGGTGAAACCCCATCTCTACTAAAAATGCAAAAACTAGGCCATTGCGGTGGCTCATGCCTGTAATTCTAGCACTTTGGGAAGTTGAGGCAGGCAGATCATGAGGTCAAAAGATCGAAACCATCCTGGCCAACATGGTGAAACCGTGTCTCTACTAAAATGAGCTGGGTGTAATAGTCCCAGCTACTCATGAGTCTAAGGCAGGAGAATTGCTTGAACCTGGGAGGCAGAGGTTGCAGTGAGCCGAGATCGCACCACTGCACTCCAGCCTAGTGACAGAGTAAGACTCTGTCTCAAAAAAAGAAAAAATTAGCCAGGTATGGTGGTGGGCACCTGTAATTCCAGCTACTCAGAAGACTGAGGCAGGAGAATCACTTGAACCCAGGAGGCGGAAGCTTCTTCAGTGAGCTGAAATCATGCCATTGCACTCCAGCATGGGCGACAAGAAGAAAATTCCGTGTCAAAAAAAAAAAAAGAGAGGAAGGAGATGCTAGGCTCCTTTTAACAACCAGCTGTCACAAGAACCCATAGAGCAAGAATACACTCATTACCATGAGTACAAGAATGACACCAGGACATTCATGAGTGGTGTCCTTGCCTGCCCACCCATGACCCAAACAACTCCTATTAGGGCCCATATTTTACTGTGAGATTTGGAGGATCAAACCAAACTATAACATAGGGTTTGTTTGTTTGTTTGCTTTTTGGAAACAGGATCTCACTCTGTTGCCCAGGCTGAAGCACAGTGGCACGATCATGGCTCATGAGCCTTGACTTCTAGGCTCAAGTGATCCTCCTGCCTCAGCCTCCTGAGTAGCTGGGACTACAAGTGTGCCCCACCACACCCAACTAATCTTTAAATTTTTTTTAGAGACAGGGTCTCACTACATTGCCCAGGCTGGTCTTGAACTCCTAGGCTCAAGCAATCCTCCTGCCTGGGTTCCCAAAGTGTTGGAATTACAGGCATGAGCCACCATGCCTGGCTTAACTTATGTATTGCATCTGTATCTTTTTTCCATAATGAGACCCCTAGGTTTGAAGGACAGCGAAATTGGTATTAGAAGATCCCCTAATTAACCATTTGCTTTATCCCACATTATAAACACAGCAGTCTCAGAATAATAATACTAACACTTTTACTACCAATTATGATCATGGAAAACAGTTAACCTTCCTTTTTTTGGTATGTTGTTCCCATCCTTCTCCCTCAAGCCCCGCCCACACTTTTTTTTTTTTTTTTTTTTTTTGAGACAGGATCTTACTCTGTCACCCAGGCTGGAATGCAGTGGCATGATCATGGCTCACTGCAACCTCGATTTCCCAGGCTCAAGCAATTCTCCCACCTCAGCCTGAGTAGCTGAGACTATAGGTGCACACAGCCATGCACAGCTAATTTTTGTATTTTTTGTAGAGACAGGGTTTTGCCATGTTGCCCAGGCTGGTCTTGAACTCTTGGGCTCAAGCTGTCTGCCTGCCTTGGCCTCCCAAAGTGCTGGGACTACAGGCTTGAGCCACTGTACCCAGCCAAGCCCCTATGTTTTAGTAGTTGTATTCTATCTTTGAGAGATCATATTATTTCTGTAAACGTGGGTTTTTTGAGAAGCAGATTCCA